ATATGTACTCTAGTGATTCGAGTAGTGGTAGCAATTACCTACCAGACAGAGACCGTCGTAGGGAGCAATTAATGTCATATCTTGTGCATACGGTTCGGTGTCGTGAGATTATTAGGATGGGTCCAGAGGCATTTGTTAATTTGGTTGAGAGACTAAGATCAACCGGGTTAGTTAAGGATGCCATACAGTCGACAGTGGAGCAACAAGTTGCTTAATTTCTTCATATAATTGGCCATAATGTTAGGAATCGAAGTGTCACATTTTTCTTTCATCGATCAGGTTCGACGGTCAGCAAACACTTTCACAATGTGTTGGATGCTATCTTAACTTTGGAATCGGAATTCCTAATTCAACCCTCAGGAAATGAGGTTCATCCATATGTCTTGAACAACAATCGATTTTACCCGTACTTTAAGGTACTCATATGAACATATTTGTATATGTTATTTCATAAAAGTGTGATAACAATATCGTTTTTTTATGATGACTTGTTATTTTTATTATTAGGATTGTTTAGGGGCCATAAACGATACTCATGTTCGTGTAAAGGTGCCCAGACTTAAAGCTCCGAGATTTCGAGGAAGAAAAGATTGGCCAACTCAAAATGTTTTTGCGGCGTGTGATTTTGACATGAAATTCACATATGTTCTTGCTGGGTGGGAAGGGACTGCATCTGATTCAAGAATTTTTAAAAATGCTCTTCAACGAGATGATCCGTTGGTTATTCCCGAAGGTCAGTGTGTACATTGCGATGTTGAAGATTTTATATAGTAGTGAATAATTACATGTTTGTTGGTAAAATTGTAGGAAAATACTATCTCGGTGATGTTGGATTTATGTTGAAAAGCACAATTTTGACTCCATATAAAGGCGTACGATATCACCTTAAAGAATATACACGTAGAGGACCACAAAATTCAAGGGAGTTGTTTAACCATAGACATTCATCGTTGCGAAATGTTATTGAAAGAACTTTTGGTGTCTTGAAAAAAAGATTCCCTATCATTGGAAGTGGCACTGAACCACACTATGGGTTGGAGACAATGACCGACATTGTATTAGCTTGTTGTATCTTACATAACTTCCTTCGTGGCGTGGATAACGATCAAGCATTACTTGATGAAGTTGATCGCGAGTTGAATGAAAGGGAAGACCATCATGTTTCATCATCTCAAGTTAGAGAAGATAACCATAGGATTGGTAGTAGTGTCAGGGATTCTATAGCAGATCATATGTGGCGAGATTATCAAAACTCGTAGTTATTGTAATTTATTGTGTTGTTTGACTGTTTTATGTTATGAATATGAGAAGAACATTATATTAAGGATGTTTGTTGTTAACTTGTGACCATTTTCTTTATGAATTAGGTATAAAATGAACAGAGGTAAGGCAGCCGCCATTGAGTCTTCTGCTCCTACTAGAGATTTCATGAAGTGGACAGAGGATATGGACGCACGTCTTCTACACTCTATGATTGAGGAATCACGAATCGGGAATAGGGTTGACGGAAGTTGGACATCCCAGGCATATAGTAACATAGTTGATCATCTTCATAGCGCTGGGTATGTCGCAGTTACAAAAAATATTGTTAAAAATTGTCAAAAAGTCTTGAAAGATAAATGGCGTGAGGTACATGACTTGTTTTCTGGATTGATGGATTTGTGTGGAATCCGGTAAGTATGACATTTCATGCTTAGGACGAAGTCTAGCTTGACCTGATTCAGGTATTTATAAAAATACTTACTTTTTGTGGATCCTTATTATACATAATATGAAGCAGTGTGTTTATTTTGTTTGTTGTTGCAGTCACGGCCAACTGCGACAAAGTGGAGAGTTAATAGTATAAAACACTACGATTTAATGGTCGAGTTATGGGCAGCTGATCGAGCTACTGGGAGTGGTGTTCGGACTGCTCGTCAAGTTCGAAGACAGCGGGTTGGTCCTCATGTCAGTGTTGATTTGAATCAAAATATTGAGTACATTCCAGAACAGTCTCAGTGGACAGGGTATAGAGACCCAACTCCACCATCACCTCCGCCATCTGTCGATGAATATAGTCCGGGACAGACTCAATCTGTGCCTTCCGTCCCATCTGGTGGGACTTCATCCTCACGAGGCTCGAAAAGGAAGGCACATATGGTCGATTGTATTGATTCTCAATTTGATAAGTTGACGACTAGTCTAGATGGTTTTGAAAATGTCTTAAGCTCATCAAATGTACATTTTGGTGTAATTTCTGATGCAGTCGTGCGTCAAGTCTCAGCGATGGAGGACAAAAATCAAATACTACGTTCCCAAACCGAGATTCTTCGTCGCACCCCCAATTACACATATACTGAGGCGGACATTTATGAAATGTTGAGTGCTATGAACATTAGTGATGAAAATTTGCTAGAGCAGTGCTATGATTTCTTATGTCGAAACCCCACATGTACGAAGAGGTTGATAGGACTGCCACCACATAAGCGGTGGAACAAATTATGTAAAATGATATCGGGCGGTAACTGTTAGGAATTTCCATATCTGACTTACTTGTATTAGTATTATATGAAATTTTGTATCAGTGATTTAATTATGAATTATTATATTTCTATGGTGGATGTAATGTTTTTAGTTCTATTATGTTAACGATGTAATGATTTGTTCTTATGTGTTCTTATTTGTTGTTATCATTAAATATAAGTAATATCTTATGTTATCCTTTGTTGTTGTTTTAATAAAATGATTTGTTGAAGAAATTGTCAGATGACATCATCATCAACAAAAAGGTCAAGAAGAACCCGTAAGGGAAAAAAAACTGTCACTGAGGTAGAAGATGCACCCCATGTAAGACCATCTGTAGAGGAACAATTAGATCAGCGACGTTTTTTCACTCACAGTCATCAAATGGAAAACTATGCAGCTGATTTCTATACAAGGAGTGTAGTTCCTCCAAAGATAATGAATTTTGATTCATTCACCGGTTCAGGGTTATTTTTCCAACAACAGCTTCTATTTCAAGGGTTGAGCCAATTTCTGACATTACAGAAATCCTTCTATCCGGATTTAATCAAAGTATTTTATTCAAATATAAAGATATCTGGAAATGGATATTTGCTCACTGAGGTAAACAAGAGAAAAATTAGATTCAAACCTGCTGATTGGTTGAATGTAGCTAACTTGAAGTACGACGGTCAGAAATTATGTTATTCAAATATCCTAGACGAATTTCCATATGACCGCAACATGGCATTAGCTACTATGGTTATACCAGATTTAGAGGGTGGTCAAGGTGTTTTAACAGTTGGTTGTTTGAATATCAATGATAGGCTTCTCCATTATATTATTGTGCATATGTTGACTCCACGACCAGAGAATTTTGCTAGGTTATTGCACAAAGATATTTTTATGATATGGGTGCTGAAAAATAATATAGCAATCAATTGGCCTCATCACATCATGCAACATATGCTTAAATGCAAGGCCAGTGACACACCCCTCCCATACGGTGTCCTTATTACACACATCATGCAATATTGTGGAGTTGACGTCTCAACCGATGCCAGCACTCAAATAGGATCCCGACATCACTTTTCTATTAATTCTTTGAAGAGGATGAAAATTGTATATGTCAACGATGTTTGGCAACACGATCTGGATGATGATGAAGAAGAAGACCAACCACACCCTCATCAAAACCCTATGCAGCCTCCTCTACCTCTATCAAATGCTAACATGATCACTCAAATGTGGAAAGGAGTACAAGACTTGAAACAAAGAATGCAGGGTATGGAACAAATGCAAGTGCGGGTTCAACATATTGAAGATAACTTGGCAAACCTTTCCCTAGACATGAACCGCCAATTTCCTCACCTGAATCAAAATGTAAACTTGATTCTTCACCATTTAGATGATTAAGTTCATTATATTTCCGATAATATATTACATGACTTCAATAGTCTTAATTTTGCTTTGTATGTGACTTTGAAATCTTACATTATATATTAATGCTATTGTCCTTAACATCACCTTTGGTACTTTTATTTATTATGTACTTTCTGATATGCAAATTAGATGGACTCTCGAATCATTGATGAAGTGTAAAAACAAATTAATCTATCAAGAAGACTGTTTGCTATTCTTGAACGACATACACAGCCCATTGAGTGTCGAATCAACCTGGTAAATGCTACCATTCAATCGTCTAATCCAACTACAGAGGAAATTGAAAACTTGTTACGGACTATGAACATTGAAGACCATGATTTAAGGAGACAGTGCTTCGAATTTTTATCTTCGCATCCATCTCATACAAGACGTTTAATAGGGATGCCAATACAATATCGTTTCAATGCATTGCAACGATACCTTGCTGAATCAACGTCATGATGAACTATTAAAACAATATTTGTATGGTCAACCCTTTGCAACTTTTTTATAGGTCGTGTGATATTATAACTTGCTACCTAATTGTGGTTGTTTGATTAATGTTCATCATTATCACATGCGTGACAAATTAATTCATATCACTTCGCACTAAATTATATTACAATTTAATTATACATTTTAAAATACATTCATTTTACTACATTATAACTTTTATAATTTTTAAACATTAATTTTAACAATTATTCATAATTTTTTTCTCTTTATAAACATTTTTACAATTAAATATAACATTACAAAATAACATTTTATAATACTTTTATAAGTAGGGGCAATTTGGTAATCTACATTTTCTATCAATTAAACTAATTTTTAAAATCTATCACATCAATTAAATCCTACACTAATTCTCACAAACTTTCCTTCAAAATCCACTCTCAATTAACCACAAATCCACTAAAAAAACAACAAAAAAATTACCCTCAAATCCACTCAAATCCATTCAAATCATCTTCCCCAAATCTTCTCCCTCAAATACCTCCAAAAGAACGCACCCTAAAATTTATTGCGTTAAATTTTATTTATCATAATAAACAATTTAAAATTTTCAAATTCCATTAAAATATATAATATAGCCATCTGACCATTGATATAGGGTCCTGATTGAGTTAATGATCCCACCGGCTGTTCATCACACTTTACTCCATCCAAGCACATCAGCAACTCACATCCTCTGTCTGATTTCACATTCCCGCGTTTTTGTATACTCGCTCTTTCCCTTTATTCTCCATCCAAATTCACTCCACAAATCAAATCTCTCTCACCCAAAATTCTTCTACTTCTTCATCTTCTCTCCGTAGTTCTTCCTCTCCTACGAAAACGAAGGCGAAGTCGACGAAGATGTTGAAGACGAAGACGTTGAAGATGAAAGCATTCCAAGGCGCCAATGTGTTCATGTCGCGAAACCTCGTGCCGCCGGAAGTCTTCGACGCGCTGCACGATGCCGTTAAAGATAACGGTGCTCAACTCCACCTCTGCTGCGATCCTTTCCGTAACGGCCCCGACGATTACCACATCATTGCTTCCAGTAAACACGTAAGTAGTTACTCACTCTGCTCTCGTTCATTTTTTGCTCTTTCTTTTCTGATTCCTCTCTCTGTTTCGCAGGAGAAGTTCGATGATCTCAAATCCAAGGGCTGCAAGTTGCTTGGTAATTTTCCGTTTCTATTTTCCTTCGATTATGTGTTTGAATTTGCCTTCTATTTTTAATTGAACCTGTCTGGATTGTAATGTCTGTGTTAGACCATGGCAGTTCTAGGTTTCAGTGGTGGTATACGAGAAATTCTTCCATTGTCTTTCTCAATCTTCACGTGGCACATAATCAAGTGTTATTAATTTTTTTCGAGTTATGGGCAGCTGATCGAGCTACTGGGAGTGGTGTTCGGACTGCTCGTCAAGTTCGAAGACAGCGGGTTGGTCCTCATGTCAGTGTTGATTTGAATCAAAATATTGAGTACATTCCAGAACAGTCTCAGTGGACAGGGTATAGAGACCCAACTCCACCATCACCTCCGCCATCTGTCGATGAATATAGTCCGGGACAGACTCAATCTGTGCCTTCCGTCCCATCTGGTGGGACTTCATCCTCACGAGGCTCGAAAAGGAAGGCACATATGGTCGATTGTATTGATTCTCAATTTGATAAGTTGACGACTAGTCTAGATGGTTTTGAAAATGTCTTAAGCTCATCAAATGTACATTTTGGTGTAATTTCTGATGCAGTCGTGCGTCAAGTCTCAGCGATGGAGGACAAAAATCAAATACTACGTTCCCAAACCGAGATTCTTCGTCGCACCCCCAATTACACATATACTGAGGCGGACATTTATGAAATGTTGAGTGCTATGAACATTAGTGATGAAAATTTGCTAGAGCAGTGCTATGATTTCTTATGTCGAAACCCCACATGTACGAAGAGGTTGATAGGACTGCCACCACATAAGCGGTGGAACAAATTATGTAAAATGATATCGGGCGGTAACTGTTAGGAATTTCCATATCTGACTTACTTGTATTAGTATTATATGAAATTTTGTATCAGTGATTTAATTATGAATTATTATATTTCTATGGTGGATGTAATGTTTTTAGTTCTATTATGTTAACGATGTAATGATTTGTTCTTATGTGTTCTTATTTGTTGTTATCATTAAATATAAGTAATATCTTATGTTATCCTTTGTTGTTGTTTTAATAAAATGATTTGTTGAAGAAATTGTCAGATGACATCATCATCAACAAAAAGGTCAAGAAGAACCCGTAAGGGAAAAAAAACTGTCACTGAGGTAGAAGATGCACCCCATGTAAGACCATCTGTAGAGGAACAATTAGATCAGCGACGTTTTTTCACTCACAGTCATCAAATGGAAAACTATGCAGCTGATTTCTATACAAGAAGTGTAATTCCTCCAAAGATAATGAATTTTGATTCATTCACCGGTTCAGGGTTATTTTTCCAACAACAGCTTCTATTTCAAGGGTTGAGCCAATTTCTGACATTACAGAAATCCTTCTATCCGGATTTAATCAAAGTATTTTATTCAAATATAAAGATATCTGGAAATGGATATTTGCTCACTGAGGTAAACAAGAGAAAAATTAGATTCAAACCTGCTGATTGGTTGACTGTAGCTAACTTGAAGTACGACGGTCAGAAATTATGTTATTCAAATATCCTAGACGAATTTCCATATGACCGCAACATGGCATTAGCTACTATGGTTATACCAGATTTGGAGGGTGGTCAAGGTGTTTTAACAGTTGGTTGTTTGAATATCAATGATAGGCTTCTCCATTATATTATTGTGCATATGTTGACTCCACGACCAGAGAATTTTGCTAGGTTATTGCACAAAGATATTTTTATGATATGGGTGCTGAAAAATAATATAGCAATCAATTGGCCTCATCACATCATGCAACATATGCTTAAATGCAAGGCCAGTGACACACCCCTCCCATACGGTGTCCTTATTACACACATCATGCAATATTGTGGAGTTGACGTCTCAACCGATGCCAGCACTCAAATAGGATCCCGACATCACTTTTCTATAAATTCTTTGAAGAGGATGAAAATTGTATATGTCAACGATGTTTGGCAACACGATCTGGATGATGATGAAGAAGAAGACCAACCACACCCTCATCAAAACCATATGCAGCCTCCTCTACCTCTATCAAATGCTAACATGATCACTCAAATGTGGAAAGGAGTACAAGACTTGAAACAAAGAATGCAGGGTATGGAACAAATGCAAGTGCGGGTTCAACATATTGAAGATAACTTGGCAAACCTTTCCCTAGACATGAACCGCCAATTTCCTCACCTGAATCAAAATGTAAACTTGATTCTTCACCATTTAGATGATTAAGTTCATTATATTTCCGATAATATATTACATGACTTCAATAGTCTTAATTTTGCTTTGTATGTGACTTTGAAATCTTACATTATATATTAATGCTATTGTCCTTAACATCACCTTTGGTACTTTTATTTATTATGTACTTTCTGATATGCAAATTAGATGGACTCTCGAATCATTGATGAAGTGTAAAAACAAATTAATCTATCAAGAAGACTGTTTGCTATTCTTGAACGACATACACAGCCCATTGAGTGTCGAATCAACCTGGTAAATGCTACCATTCAATCGTCTAATCCAACTACAGAGGAAATTGAAAACTTGTTACGGACTATGAACATTGAAGACCATGATTTAAGGAGACAGTGCTTCGAATTTTTATCTTCGCATCCATCTCATACAAGACGTTTAATAGGGATGCCAATACAATATCGTTTCAATGCATTGCAACGATACCTTGCTGAATCAACGTCATGATGAACTATTAAAACAATATTTGTATGGTCAACCCTTTGCAACTTTTTTATAGGTCGTGTGATATTATAACTTGCTACCTAATTGTGGTTGTTTGATTAATGTTCATCATTATCACATGCGTGACAAATTAATTCATATCACTTCGCACTAAATTATATTACAATTTAATTATACATTTTAAAATACATTCATTTTACTACATTATAACTTTTATAATTTTTAAACATTAATTTTAACAATTATTCATAATTTTTTTCTCTTTATAA